CTTTAACTAAATGCACTTTGAGATCTGTCTTCCAGTAGGGAAACACTCCACCACCTTACGCACTGAGTGGCGATCGGATCGCTAAGGGATGGACCTTTCCATAATATCCCAGAATAGCCCGGTTTCCATGAAGGCCATTAGGTCAGGACGAGTCTCCGAAGTAAGCAATTGAATTTCATCTAGTTTATTCCTTAGACTGCGCACAGTGGCAGATAGCAGGCGTAGTCCGCTTTTATGCTTTACTATCCGGTGTTGACAAGTAACGGCCTCCAGCAGGCTCTTGTGCTCTACCAAACTTTGCAAAAATCCACGACATGTAGCTCGGTTTCACCACTCACCCGGCGCGTTCGTAGCTCCTCTACAGCCTTCTTCATTTTTATTCGGTCCTTGGGATAGAAGTCTCGGAACACGTAGAAAGGTTCCCACTTGAGACGTGGAGTCCGTCCCAGGATGCGCACGCAGTCTTCTTTTCCGCATACAAAACGGCATACGAACCTTGGAGAAATTTTCCTGCTTCTTACCGAGACGGAAGGCTGAGACAATGTTTATTCCCTGTTCGCCTGCGTCAAACAGTACAGCTTTATTCCGCTCTAGCAGTATTGGAGCATCAAACATCCTCTCCGCTGAGCCAGCCTTGTCCGATTCGGCCGCGTTCACGAGGATAAGCTAACGGTCAGGAGATGGTTGAATGCGAGCTGGGATTGGTGGCTCAGCAAGTCAGTTGAGCACCACCTTCATTTGTGACTGACATGGAAACGCAGGTTTACTCAAAGACAGTCTTCGTCATGGTGACTCATGTGGCCGGAATTTGGCAACACAAGGTCAAGGTCACCATCTTCACTACGGCCGCGTATGCCTTTGGCATAAACTCACTCGGCCGGCTGTGTGTCAATGGGTCCGAAGGAGAAGTAGACGTGGCTGGGATGGCCGTGACTTTTAAGACTTGCTGGAAGTGGTATCGCTCCTCTTTCTAGTAGAAGGAGCCGAAGAAGGTCTCAGGAACTTAATGCGGCGGACTTCTTACCAACACAGTAGCATCGATGAAATATCGACCAGTCCATGGCAGACCCTTGTGCTCAGCATAGGTCTTGAAGAGCGGTTCCGTAAGTGATGAGCAACGCTTTTGGCCACATGCCGAGAGTTTGCAGGCAATGCATTGAACACAATTAGTCACCACTTTGGCACAATACAAACAGTGTGCGTTGGGCTTAGCCCCCTGTTTTTAGAGAAAACTTCACAATGGACAAATTTTAGCATGTTTCCTCAATTACTGGGCTCCAAGCTGTTTCACCTAAAAAGATCGATCAGCATGGCATGCCAAAAAGCCGAGTTATCGCGGAGCACTCACAGTGCTATTTTACGATTGCTTAAATATGTCGGTTATTATTTATTACGCCTGGCATTTCTTAACACTGTTTGTCGCTTTAACGCATACTGAGAGCTAACCGCCCATCTGATCGCCGCGGAGGTGGAGTCGCCTTGTATATCTGATGTGATGTAAACATAAGAAAAACACATACCATTAGCTCAGCTGCTATAACTGTTGAAGCTCTTACAGCTGAAGCCTGTACCGAAGCAACACAATTTAACATTGTGCTGCTATATAGGAGACCTGATAGCGCTTCTAGGAGTTTCCTTGACTTTCTGTGCACTCACTTTGAGAACAGGTGCCTGAGAACGGGGGACTTCACCTTCCCTGAAGTAAATTGGCCTGACCTATCTTATGAGGCAGCGACAACTGGGTTGGCTGCCGAGCGTGTTGCTCTGACACTGGATGTACCCTTAAACCAATTTGTCGATCTACCCACCAGGTACATAGTGGGTCACGCTCCTTCTCTGTTGGACTTAGTTTTCTCAAAGACGGTTGACTTTATGTGTGACCCTGAGTACGGTCCCTTTTCGGAGCTAGTGATCATGCGTGTTTGTCATTCACTTGTGCTCTCATTAGAGACTACGATTCACCCAGGGTTCGGACTCCGAACATCTGGCACGCCGACTTTCCGGCTAGTAGAGCCATTGCAGTAAGCTTCCCATGCGTCATCTTGCCGTATGCTGATACACAGACGGCTTGGGAGACGTTTAAGTCCTTCCTCTATAATATATCATACCCCCATATCCCATTTTCTGTAAAAAGAAGTACACCAAAGCAAAACCACCATGGTTGGACTCATTCGCACACCAGCTAATGAATAGACGGCCAAGATGGTGGTGGATCTACCTGACAGTTGTCTCAGTGTGTATTATTCGGGGTTATCGTGAAGCATGGAATGCTTGCAAGAGTCATTTACGAGCTACCATACTTAGCTATGAGATAGAGCTGGCTAACCCAGCCTCCGCAAATCCCAAAAGGCATAGTAACATAGGCTTATCGATCCCAAGGTTATTAGGCAGCGACGGCATCACTGTCACCACTGATCACGAAAAAGCATGTCTACTCATTGCGCCGTATACCGGGACTTTTGTTCGGGATGAGCAATTGCCGCGTGTTGACCTATCAATGAGAGTCCCACAGGACTCCTGTTTAACACACGTCCCAATTTCGGAGGCAAAAGCTCTCCATCTGCTTCAGCGGCTAAATCCGCTGGGATGGATGATATTCACTCTAAGCTTTTGTACGAAATCACAAGCGAGCTATGTGGCCCAGTAACGCGAATTTTTTTAGTTGTCGCTTAGCAGCTGCTCCTTTCCCAATGACTGGATGGATGCTATTGTCTGCCCGGTTTGTAAACAGGGCGGCAAGCATCTCCCTGCCAATTATAGACCGGTAGGTTTCACAAGCGTACTGTTCAAGATATTGGAGAAGTTGGTCAGAGATGTGCTTGAAAACCACCTGCGGGAGTTTTGTCTGCTCAGTCCACTTCAACACGGCTTTCGCAAGGGTCATTCCTGTATGACCAATTTGCTAGTTGCACATGTATGTTGGGTGGTTGATTTGGACCGGGGTCATGCAGTAGATGTAGTGTTTATTGACTTCTCCAAGGCGTTCAACACTGTATCACATTCTCGCCTCTCCTTGAAACTTCGGTCCGGTGGAAAAGCAGGGTGTGCACTAAAATCGATCACCACGTTTCTGGAAGGTAGAGAAATGTGTGTTCGTTGGCGGTCTAGTCTGTCTTTCTGACAGTCAGTCCTCAGTGGGTTCCCTCAGGGTTCGATGCTTCGCCCGTTGTTATTTTCTTTGTAGGACAATGAGCTGCCCGCACTGTTGGAGGCACCATCTCACATGTTTGCAGATGGCCTAACGTTATGGAACATAGTGTCTGATTTAGATGGACCCCAGAACCGGCACCGGGCACTCGATACATGTTGGGACTGGGCTGCGCTGTGGCAGTTGCCCAAAAATTAGGCAAGGTGTTCCAGCTTACGAATAGAGCCAAATGGCCACAAACGCATTATCTGCTTGGCGGTAATCAACTACCCCATTTTCCCAATCGGTAGATGTAGGGGTGATGTTGTCTGCAGAACTTAATTCCAGTGCGAACTAGTGGAAAGCTACGTGCAAAGGTTTCAAATGGTTGTGGATGATCCGCAGGACATTCGGGATCAACACGGGCGCTATGTTTGTTAGGTTGTTCTCAGTATTTGTCAGGCCACGCTTGGACTATTGCATCCAGACTTGTCCACCTTGCTTAGTCAGGGACAGGATGTCAGTGGAGATGGTGTTGAGCGTTGGCAACAAACTGTTTCATGGACTAGGGAACCATTCTTACCCAGAAAGACTACTTGCGCTGGGAATTTTCTCATTGCATTATCGCACCATCGAGACTACTTAGTCTTGACCTATCGCATTCTTACCGGTAAACTCGGATTCGAGTTATCTAGGCTTTTTCAACCGGCTCGGCTTCCATCTCTCCGAGGTGGCTCGATGAATCTACACAAAACTCGATCAGGTGGAGTCCGGGCGGAGTTTCGTTTATCACGCCGAGTGGTGGATTCCAGGAATGCACTGCTCGAGAACATGTTATTGGTATCAACCGTGAAAGAGTTCGAACACCGACTCGACGCTCTTGGTCTTCAATTCTTAACATTCCCTTTCACATCCTAGCTTATTCGTCCTATTGAATTATTGACGCTAGTCCTATTTTTCTTGACGCGCTTATTACATTAGTGCTTCTGTTTATTAGTTCACGTGACCAGTGCGGCCGGGACTGCCAATGCAGGTCGCGTGGGTATTAATTGGTTGACCGTGGTGTGATTCTCGCGCGCTGATCTGACAGGATGTTTCATGCCTTACGAAGAGCATTCTCCCGCCTTACTCCAGAACTCTTCAGACTCCTGTTTGCCTCACATGTGCCCCCGATTCTCGAGTACGGCTTGCCAGCTGCCCAGCCTCTCACGAAGACGGAATGCGATATGATTGAGAAGGTCCAGCGCCGTGGATCTAAATATGTGCCAGAACTGCGGTGCCTATCTTATCCTCTCCGCCTCCAGCGATTACGTCTTTTCTCTCTGGATTACCGTCGTCGTCGCGGCGACTTGGCCTACACTCGACGTATCCTAAGAGGAGAACTTGGAAGCGGATTGCAGCAGTTCTTTTATCTGAACACTGCAAGTTCCACACGTGGTCACGGATGGAAATTGTTCAAACCGAGGAGACTCCATGTGCGGTCGAATCTAGCTCTATCCACGCGCGTGGTTAATGACTGGAATCGCTTGCCGGAGCTCGTCGTTGATGCGCAGTCCGAGGAAGGTTTCAAGAAATTGTTGGATTCCCACTTGATAATTGTGCCCGGATATTGCTTCACAACCTAGCTTTAATGGTTCATTGTGGAACCCTATTTTCACTATGACCCCAGCAATGTTCGCAATGGCTGGGAAGCGACGGAGCTGATAAAGGACTCTCCTTCTGCTCTCTACCATACAATGATACAATGACTCTCTTGGATTCTAGTTATCGCGGACAAATAATACTCCGCTCAACGGCGCGCCACGGAAGGTACCTTCACGGGGATTTATCCTACTGTTCTAATCCCACTTGAACTTGAACTTAAACTAACATACAGTACAATTAATGCTATCCGCAGCTACAAAATCAAGGTCATCTGCACTTTGCCCTTCCCGGAATTTCCTTTCAGGAATGGCCAGTCCGGCTGGCGTTGTTCGCAACTATTACTGCCATAGCTGCGAGTCTGAAGTCCAGATTAATTTAAATGTAATCTTTCGTTACTTACTTAGCTTTTTTTGAGGATTTTACATGTTTACACTGTCATTCGGGTTTCATAGAGGAAATACGCTCCAGGTTCTCATTCACTTTTGTTTGTTATCTATTGTCTTTTTTCTTAGGTCAAGGGATGACTCCTTTACGACAGAGGTAGTTCTTGAATATTATTTGATTTGACTAGTCATTTCAGCCAGAAAACCTTCTACAAAACCTCTTCGGGGACTTCGCCTCCGTGGCATCGTTTAATGGTAGCGATCCAGAAGATGACATGGCAACAGAGTTTGAAGTCCCCCGCACTCGAAGAGGTGGAAGAAGATCTGGGGGCTCCAGACTTAATCCTAGCGCTGAGCGTATTACCATAAGGCTCTCGTCCCAGCCGAACGGTGCTCCTGGTGGTGTCCGTTTAGCCTCAACTTCAAATCCGTTCCTGCTGCAGTTACTATCCGGCTTTAATTCCCTGCATGGTGATGTGCGCGATTACACACTTACCCAAGGTAAGGTTTATCTATCTCGGTGCATCGCGGAACGAACAGCTTTTTGTGTTATGCACATTGTTTACGGTTTTACAGTTACACAAGATGCTAGATCTATTTTTCGATTTGAATGACAGCTTTTAACATCTTTTGCGTATCTGTCCTATTTGTGCCTAGCCGTCATCCACAGTGCCCGCTCAACACGATACTACTGGAGCCAATACTTAAACAGACGTTGGACACTTGGAATTGTAGATAGCAATGGGTAGACCTTGACTATTACTTATCGATCAGCATAGTGATTCTAATATTACGAAACGGTTTCGGCAAAGCCGTTGCGGTTTCAGAGATAACCGCACTACCCTAGCACACTAAGCAAGTGTAAGTGCAATATTCTCTTGCAACATTTTTCAGTAGAGGCATTGACCACAGGCTCCGGTAAGTTATTCTAGCCGTTCATTTTCCTGGTAGACAAAGTCACCTCTGGAAAGACTTGGAGTCTCCTTTGTTTAAAGTCCTTTCAACTCTAGTTATCTTTGTTAGACAAAGATTTGAAGCTCACCGCTCATTTTCCCTTGAGGATTCGTTTTGTATAAATCAGCTCTTTATTAGGACGATGATAGTCTAGAGACAGCAGATTAATCGGTTGGTATCGAACGAAATAAGACAGATCGCGGAGCCTTGAGTGACTTCAAAGCACTGTACTGAAACTCTTTTAGACGAACTCTTTCAGATGAAACTGAACCTTGGTACGATGGTTTTCGTACTTACGTGACACATTGGAATATGTTGGGTGACGTGTTCCAAGTATCTTCAGAGCAACTAACAGAGTCGAGCTTACTCAGTCTCACAATCCTCTTCGGTTTCGGAGGTCGATGGCACTCTTCACCTAATACCTCGCCACGGGAGACAACGGGCGACAGATAAAACGCACACAACTCGTTTGGCGTGAAGTACGAGCGTTACTCATTTTCTCCGACGCTGGAAGAGCAAGGGCATCAGCATTACGCCGGTACTCAGTACTGACGCTTAGCTGCCACGCAACCATCACGTCGCACGCGGTCTATGGATACTGCGAAAGTCGCCTGGTCCCTGCGCAGGCTCGAACCCGCGTCCTCGGATTACAGTGACAGACTGGTGATCCATAAGACTTCTGGTTGGCGATGGAAGAGCACCAATCAGTGCTCAACGGTTTGCGACCGTCCGCCTTAAGCGTGGCACCTCCTGGTCTAATGGACTTTAACCTGCTAACCCACTTGCGGTTGACCTTGATCGCAGGTGTTTAACGTACTACGGTCAGAAAATACATGTGCATCGTTTCACCTCTTCGAAGCCTGCGTGTGACACTTTAAGGGGATCTCGATGGTCTTCTGCAATCACACTCCTCAGCTGGATTGGCTCTCCACTACGTTTTGTCAGGTTATTGAACCGAACTTCCTGAGTCACTGGCCCGAAGTATTTATGGTGTCGGTATCGCCCTCAGCAAATCTACTGAGAACCATCTACCGGGCTAGATTCCACTGAATATCCGCACGTGTGCGATTCAAATTCAAACATCTATTGGGGTTGATAAACACCGTCTGCAGACAAGGTGTCTTTACCTCCTTTCCGTTCAGGCAGTTTGAAAGATATCAAAGACAATTTCTATCGTCAGCTGTCGTCTCTTCGCGTGACATAAATACGGATATTGTAATCGTTGCTGTTGACATGAACGCCAAAATATGCCACATTTCCGACTCAGAACTACACTTGAGAGGTCGTTTTTGGGTCGATACGCGTCGTACAGATAATGCCGATTGATTCCTGCAACTATCTTTATGTTTACAACGCTGCTTTTCAGCACAAACGTCCACTTCATGTATTTTGGCCCGCACCGAATTCCTCGGTGACCTGGACTCAAATTGACTATATTGCCACCAGCTGCAGATGGCACACCTCGGTTTAAGACCGCTGGTCAATTGTGAGCATGTGCCTGGATTCTGACCGTGCTCCAGTGCGCGCATGCATGGCGCTCATTATTCACGCCTAACTTCTAAGTCTTGCTTATAACTTGAATTTACTGTCTACAACTCAACAATCTCATGACGTACTGGCCCACAAGCTCTGAGGAGTTTAAGAGGTTGCTGAGACCAACGCTGACTGGAATCGTCTCAGGTGTACCATCAGGAATGTTTTTGTCGCATGCTTTGCGCCCAACTTGTGACATCCGAGACTTGACCTTAACGTAGTGGAACGGTTTATGCACCTCTTCGACCCATTCAGCTGTACTGGTTGCTACCCCCGGCCCCTTGTGAGCTACTCCTACAAGGTTGGTCATTGATTAGTGGTCAGACAAACCGAGTCTTCTAGTCCTCCAGCTTGGGGGTTTGAAATGTGATGTCATCCGTCTCTGGAAAATTTAATCATTGCCACCACTCGCTGCCTTGCGGACAGGCTTTTGAGCCAAAGCTTTTGGTTGAAGACCCTGATCGTTTGCGCGTATAAGTCTGGGCGCCGTGGCAGTAGCTCAGCCCACCTACAACCATGATTGTTCCCTTAAACTTCAACCACATTTTGCATCGGCCGTCGCACAGATTATCATGGGCCACCATATCTGCTGCATACAGCAGGGCGGATAAGTGAAGACATGCTATTGCTGACGACTCCTTTTCCACTTATGTCTCTTACTCCCATCCCAACCCCCATTACTAACCTTTCTTCTATAATTCCCAACTTAATTGAAATAAGCCTCAATGTCATTGAACTCATACCATCTGAAATTACCGTCCCTCACCACCCACTAGACGCCTACCGACGGCAACCTCTTATAAGATCACACTATCCCGTTTCCTTGACGGCGTTCAACGTTCGCACTGTAACACAAACAGGTCAACAGGCTGCCCTCGCACCCACATTGTAAACTCGGAGTAGTGACTGCGTTGTGTGTCCGAGCAAAGATCAATAGCTCTCACGATGCTATTGAATTAACTCGCCCTATTTGTCCTCTCGCTATTGGTTGCACGCATCTGGACACGCTGATGTAGCACTCACCAGTCAAGCTGGGATGGACATTGTTCTCAGCCCTAAGGCTATCATCGTTGGTTGATTGGACCTCCTTGAGCAGCCGTTTGTGTGTAGCCCGTTTGACCACAACTAAGGTTGATTCAATAATTAGTGCCAGGTGCTGTTTTTTTGTGCTTTCTGCTTAAGTCCCCACCGCGTGCAGTTCTGATACTGCAAAGGACTCCTTGTACTACAAACTGAAAACGTTGCTCCAGTGTTACCGGTTGGGATATCGTTGTCGTTGCAGGGGACAAAAATGCGCCATTATTTCGTCCGAGCTCTTCAGAAGGTCAGCTAGGTTGTAAGTATGGACTTCCTTCCGAATGAACAACCGCAAGCATCTGTTGCAGCCTTGATCAAAGCACCGGTTGTTTCTCATTAGCACTGCCTTTAGACAGGGTGGGCGCGGAAGGGTCACTTGGCGTCCTCCATAACTAGCCAGCGATGGACTTAAATAGATCGCGTTGCCATAAGTTACGGGTGGCGTGGTTCCATCCTGGCTGTCGTTCGTTCTAGAATACATCTCGGCTCTGATCATGCCTTGGTACGCTGTCGTCTTTCCTTGAATATTGCCGAAAGACGTACTAAGCGCCCCATCGATTGGTAACTGAGGTGTTATCCCGGTCGTTGGACCGGCAAGTCTACCAGGACCTCCTGCATACCGGACGTTTACTCTCTCATCTTGATGACATTATGCTTCAGTGCATAGGATGTCGGCCGCCATGCACGATACGAAAACCTCTGTTTGCGGCGCTACCAATCGTTGGTGAATCTGTTGGCATCCAGGAAAAAGCTCCCGGCTGGTTCTGATCATAATGTGCGTAGGCGAGTACTAGGTAGTGATAATCATGCTAGCTCCCTAAAACAACAGATAGCACTGAATAAGTTGCGTTGGCTAGGGCACGTGCTACGTATGCCTGGTCACCGCTTACCTAGGAGGGCCTTGTTCAGTCTACAGGTGTAGGATGGCGCAAGGCTCGAGGTGGACAGAAGTTGACTTGGCAGCGGGAAATGAAGTCACTGACAACCAAACTGGGTGCCGTTGGTCCGTCTCGCCTTCCGGGTTGGAGTCCACGTGACTCACCTTGTGCTTGGCTCGAGACTTTACAGGACATGACTCGCAACCGACACCAGTGGCGCGTTTGCTGCCGTCTTCTAATCGGATTGCCTGTTTAAAGTATGTTTGGTGCTGAGTTATCTGCGAGGTAATGGCTGATTATGACGCGGGACAGTGAAAGCCGCAAGGAAGCTGTCTCGCCGATGCCGCCTTATCTTCGCACGATAGCCAGCTGTTTGTGACGGTATGTTGTTTACACAAGGTGTAGGCGCCTTGACCCAGAATGTTTGCTTAGGGCATTAAGGTTTTCAGGTAAGTCCCCCTTTCTCTCCCTCTTATTATTTATTTCATAAGTCTTCATGGTTGTATGGCAGCGAAGCATCAGTTCAAACGGCTGATGTCCTGCTGTTGATGATGATGTTGATGATGATGATGATGATCATAATGTCACCACATGGACTGTTTGCCTCGAACTAACCCGGTGTCTGCGTGTTGACAAGCAAGCCTAGTTAGCCCGTAGGGTACACGAAATGAAGGAAGCGGCAGCAGTTGGCAAATATCGCAAGCACATCCAATTGATGCGCGCCACTGGTCCCAGGAAACCAGGCGTCAGCAGAAGGTGGCGCGGGTGCCCCGATTCGCAGCAAGGAGCGCCGTATGACTCGTTGAGCGGAGCACTTTCGGCATCAGTTTACTTGACCGACTGTTTCTTATGTCCCTTTCTGTTCAAGTGATGCAGGATGAGCCACGTACGGTTAGTTTAGAGGCTCCGTCAGAGGCTGAGATCCGAAACGCAATCATAGTCCTTAGTCGTTTTCGGGCTGCTGACCTGGCTTCCTTCCCATCTGCACCATTTAATGATGGTGGTGTGGTTATCTGCAAAGCGCTGTCCTCCCTGTTCAAACAGGTCTGAAAGGAAGAG